CCACTGATTATGATCATGTCGAAAAGGAATTTCTCCCATCTGCTGTGCATGGACAAGGGTTCATCCTCGTAGCTTTTGGGGACGTGGAAGTCCTTCGACCTTTTCACGGAGAAAGCTATCTGGATAGGGCCCGATTCATTCGATGGTCGGGTTTCTTCCTCGACTTCTTTCACCTCGCGGTGTCTCAGTGAGGGGCATCATTGTGTCGGTATTTCCCGAGTTTGTCACCCTTGATAAGGGTCTCGATGGCATCCTTGACGTGGACGCAGTCTTCTATCAGGTGCCCATGACTCTGATGGTACTGACAATATTTTATCCTATCTGCCCCGAGTTTCGCAGGAGCAGATCGAGGACGTATGATGTCGCCGTCCTTAAAGTTAGTATTAGAGCACTCCACCAGAATACACTCGCTGGAAGCGGTCAGTGGAGTGTACTCTGTGAACCGCCATGCTGGTCCTCTATGCCTGCGGGGATCGTGCGATTTCTCATCCCTTCTCTTCTTGCCAGATCATCGAGATGGGCCTATGTCCAGGTGTCATGGGATGTTAGCTGGTCCGTGATTCCTTGAGTCACGGGCTTTATTAGCCGATTTCTTCTCCATGTATTCCATGTAGGCCATGGCATTTTGAGGAGAGCGTCGAAAGACCAGGGTGGTTCAATGTCGACGACCTTTCTGAATTCAGTTCCTGAGAGGAGTCCTCTCTCGAGCAGGTACCTTTTCATATGATCAGTGCACGGGACCTGAATGGCCTCGCGGTTGAACTGATCAATGTATTCCCTGAGGGTCTCATTGCTTCTCTAGAAGATAGCCTCAAGGGCGACCTCAATCATGGGGTGTCGACGAGACGCAATGAAGGAGTTGATGAACTGGTTCTTGAGATTTCTTGAGGAGGTGATCGACCCTGGGGCGAGGTTCTTGTACCACTCCATGGCAGTTTTTCTCAAGGTCGTGGGGAACAACCAGAATTTTACCGGCCCCCCGACGTTAGGATGATGGAGCATTGCTTTGAACGCTTCGATGTGGTCGACAGGATCTGCAATGCCATTGTATTCCTTTAGTTGGGGAGGTTTCTCCATTCCTCTAAGAATGGGCGCCTTTATAATCGCTTGGGATAAGGGACCGCGGGGGTCATCTTCGTCGCTTCTGTATGAAGATCGGGAGGGGGACCAGTTGTAATGGCGGTCGTGGTGGAAGCCTTGGACGTGAGGAGGATCTCTTGGTCGAGGTTGTGTTTCTCTATTTCCCCTGTTTATGTTGTTTCCAGGGGATCGTTGTTCCCTGCGCGAGGGGGGGGGGGGGGTGATCGCGTCTCCCCTTGGCTTCGGGCAATGTCGTCTCCAACATGGGGCCTCGCCCAGTTCGTCAGGGAGAAAAACTTCGCGATCTATCCCGTCTGTGTCTCCATAGGGGAGAGCGAGGACAGTCTTCGTTCTGACGAGGAGGAGGAGTATCAGGGTCTTCTGTGTCTTCTGGGGGCCTGGAGAGTCTGTTTGAGCACCCTTAGCAACTCACCCTGTGAGAAGATCAAGTAGTTTTTCTGGTTGATGGCCGGGAGCAAAGATCTGATCGTGGCATCAGTGCCTGCGGGGACGGGGACCTCCTGGAAAGCTTTTGGTTCATAGTTCTGGGGGATGGACATCCTCGTGTGGTCGGGAGTGGGATAATGAAGAGGCGTTCAACCCGTCTCTATAGTTCTGCTTGAGACTGGCCATGTCGATGTCGTTCTCGGTGTTGTTGTTACCAATAGTTCCTGGTGTTGTTGTTACCAATGTTCTACTGGAGCTGTCATTTGTAACAGTAACAACAATTATTGTTCAATCATTCTTCCTTACAACTTTGTATCCGTCATTCTCTTGCTCTCATCAATATATTCCTTTTGTTCATTATTTATTTTTGTGCACTAACAATTGGTATCTAGAGCTCCGATTCTGATCCACATGAAAACACAAAGAAACACGAGTGAAATGCGAGGCATTTGTGTGATTAATTTTGATTCTGGATTCGTGTTGAATCTTTGAACAAAATCTGAACAGAATCACATTTTTCTAATTCTATGGGATTTGGAAATACTGTGCTTGTGAGATCTGAGTGGGTTGTACAAAGTTAAGGATGAACGGAAACGGTAATTTGAGTACCAAACTTCCTGTTTTTGATGGCAAGAACTGGAACAGATGGATGATTCAGATGCGCATGTTGTTCGATGCTCAAGATGTTCTTGAGCTTGTTACTGAATGTTATGTTCTTGTTATAGAAAACACAACAAAAGAGCATAGGAATGCACAGAGACAAGAGGAAGAAAGATCAGAAGGTGTTGTTCTACATCCATTAGTGTGTGGATGTGAACATGTATGAGAAGATTGCAGATTCGACAACATCAAAGGGCACGTGGGATATACTGGTCAGATGTTACGGTGGTGACGCATTAGTGAAGAAGGTGAAGTTTCAGTCCTTAAGAAAGAAATATGAGAACCTCAACATGAAGGAACGAGAAGGTTTCTGAGTACATCTCTAGAGTGATTCTGATCACTAATGAGATGAAATGTTATGGAGAAACCCTGAACAAGTAATTCTTGAGAAGATATTGAAGTCTATTACTCTTCAATTTGATTACATTGTTGTAGCAATTGAACATTCTAAATATCTGGACACTATGAGAATAGAAGAGCTGCAAAGCAGTCTAGAGGCGCAAAAGTTGTGTCTGACTGAAAGAACTTGAGAGGAAAGTTGAGTAGGCCTTGAAGGCTTCTTTTGTCAAAAAAGACCAGAAGAAGATTATACATGGTGGTAATTCCCAGAAGTCAGAAGTCTTCTATTCTGATGAAAAGAAATATCAAAAGGGAAAAGAGAAGTATGACAAGAGAATGGTTCAGTGTTATCGTTGTAATATGATTGACCACTTTGCTAAAGATTGTTGGTCAAACAAAGAAGAAGCAAAAATAGTCAGAGGAGATTCATATGATGAACCTATGCTATTAATGTCTTATGAATCTAATGAGGAGCCTGTGAGATTGTCATTTTCTGATTCTGAAGGGAAAGAAGATGGCTGTGAATATTCTGACTCTGAAGGAGTATTTGAATATAAGTCTGAATCAGAAGATGACACTGAAGATTTTGAAGATGAGTCGAAATCTGAGGTTGTTGAAGATGAGTCAGAGTTAGAAGATAACTCTGAAGCTGAAGACAAGTCAGAGTTAAAAGATAACTCTAAAGCTGAAGACAAGTCAGAACTCGAAGGTGATTCTGAGTCTGAAGAAGAATCAGAAGATGAGTCAGAATTTGAAAAAGATTATGCTTTTGAAGATGAGTCAGAACTTGAAAGTTCTAAAGAAGAGCTAGAGTCAGACGATGAAGAATCTTCTAGAGACTCTGAAGACGAGTCAAATGGTGAATCTGATTCTGATCCAGATTTTGAATCTGACGGTGGTCATGCTTCTGGAAGGGAAAACTCTGAAGACGTAGGTTCTGGAGGACAAGCTTCTAGAGATGATAATGTTTCTGGTGGTAATAATGACTTTGAAGGTGGATCTTCTGAAGGAATAACTTCTGAAAGTAGACCAACCTCTGATGAAGGTCATGATTTTGAAGGTGGAACTTCTGAAGGCGATCCAACTTTTGAAGGTGGTATTTCTAAAGGTAGTGGTTCTGGACGAGGTCCAAAAATTAACAAAGGTAGAGCTTTTGGTGGTAGTCAATCTTCTGAAGAAAGTCCAGAAGGAGATACAGTTTCAGAATCAGAAGGAGATTCTGAACAAGTCCAAAGACCACAACAAATCAGAAAAATATCAAGGAGATTTGCAGAGTTTCACAAACTGCAAGATATTGAAGGGACTCTGATAGTTGACAGAAGAAATACTTTTGGATATTTTTGTTTGTATCTTGAAAGTATTATTTGTTGTTGCTCCAAGAAGCAACTGGTGATTGTGTTGTCAACCTGTGAAGCTCTCAAGAAGAAAGTGTGGCTGAAGGCCATGAAAGAAAAGTTTGATGCTATTGAAAGAAACAAGACTTGAGAGTTGACTGAGCTTTCGAAGGAGAAGAAAAACACTAGCGTCAGATGGGTTCTCAAGGAGAAATTTGTACTTCTAAATGAAGTATTAGAAGTTACACACTGTAGCAACCAGAAACAACTTGCAGATGTTCTAACGAAGGATGTCAAGATTGAACACTTTATTTGTTTGAGGGATGGGATTGATGTTGAAGAGTTTTGGTTAACTTAATATGAATTGAGGGATGGTGTTGGAAGTAATTCATTTTCAGAAGATGTTGTTATTCAGAAGCAGTAGAGCTTCTGAGGTTGTTAGCCAGAAGTTGTAAGCTTCTGAGACTGCTTAGTTAGAAAAAACAGTAATTTGATGTAATCAGCAGTTGTTATTAATCAGAAGCACAAGTTTCCGAGGTTATGCCCAGAAGTATGCTTAGCTTCTGAGGTTCTAGAACTGAGTTTGTTAACGTTGCTTTAAGTTTAATATTTCCTAGTTTGTATCTTTTAACTTAGTCATTAAGTTTGCTATTAGGATCTACGTGACAATTTACTTTGTATATAAATAGACTAGTAATAAATGTCATTTGTAACAGTAACAATAATCATTGTTCAATCATTATTTCTTATAACTTTGTAGCTGTCATTCTCTTGCTCTCATAAATATATTCTTTTTGTTCATCATTGATTCTTGTACACTAACAAGAAATGATACACTTAAAGAAAAGGTAAGCGAGAAAGAGGGTATATATTTACAAAAAAGTCTGAACTCTTGAATGAAATGAAAATAGTTCTTCATGTAAGAGCACATAAACTTTTAAGTGTATATTCTCACGTCTTAATGGACCACGCGCATAAATATAAATACATACATACATATATGATGAATCCATGAAGTGGAACCTGAGCTATAGTATAGTAGGAAGTTACAAAGTAGTAGTTCAACTTATTTACAATGCAGAAACGAAATTATGAAAATATTCCTTTAACATAGTCATTCATTCATCCACAACTTCATAACTAGGCAGCTTCAGCAAAACCAACTTGGAGATTTCCGTAGTCGAAAACAGTGTGATATGCCCTCATGAAAACATCACCAAGAATCCTGCATCAATATAGCTCAGCTATTAGTAACAGAGACAAACAAAGCTTTAGACGATTTCACATTGATAAGTTTTTCGGAGAAATAATATACCAGAGTGGACCCTTTGGAGGAGGAATATCGAACGCAATAAACCCGCTAAGACAGACCTCGGTAATGCCTTCTCCGGTTCTTAGAATATACTGAAAAACAAACATCGCATTTTCAGATTCATAACAAAAAAATAGCATAATTTGTTGTTCAGTTAGGTACTCGGTTTTTTTTTTTTTGGAATGTTACTAGCTAGTTGGGAGTCATAACCTGTTCTGGTGTGAGGACGAAGGGTTTGTCTCCGATAGTGAATGAAATGTTTGGCATCTTAGAGATATCGTTACAGCTTATCACCGATTCTCCGGATGGACTTGGAAGACTCTCACACAGCTGCCAATTATCAAACACTCACAATCACAACATGTCTAGTCTACACGATTCAAATCGAAATATAAAACAATGGACTTACTTGATTCACATAGTTGAAGACTCTCTCCTTGTTCGCCTTTTGTTTAAGTTGATTCTGAATCCAGAGAACAAGCATCTGACAAGAAGAACATAGAGGAGTATCTTTTACCGACAACTCGCTATGTTCCTTTTCAGTCACCATCTCAATTCCAGCACTGCCACAAATAGAATGAGAAGTTTACTTATGAATCCATTTCAAGCCAGAACGGTTGCATATGGTAAAACGGAAAAAAACAGAAGCAGACACTGGGGCAAGATTCCTAACCTCATAGATTGATCCCGGCGAATAGTACATAAACCAACTTGTGAACATATGTCACTAGGTTTTACCTGCAGACCAACATCAAACTCAGTTAGGTTCAAAGCGTGAAAGCGCAAAAGGGAAAAAGTCACGGGATGCAAAACATGTAGAAAACAACACAAAACTTCATAGAGAAAAGGCGAGGAAGCTTACCCCTGATACTAGGAGATCCCATATCAACTCTCCATATTGAGAAACAACTGTCTTACATTCTACACTCAGAACACCTTCAGCTCCAATAGCGTGGTTGATTTCAGCCACAACAGGCTGAAATTAATTATCAGTGAAACGAAATTATAAACGAAAGTCTCCAAGCAAAGTTTATTAAAAATATAGAATATAGAAGAACATACAGTTGGACCAGCAAGCAAAGATGTTCCTGAGTCCACAATAGCAGCACAGCCACCTTCACAAACACCTAAAAACAACATCCGATATTTTTCAGAATCATATATATTTTGGAATCAATGTGTATATAGCAAATAAAGATGAAGGCGGATATGAACATTCTAAACAATGATGTCTCACCTGTTGACGAGCCTCCAATGAAAAAGTCTCCTATTTCAATCTGAAAAGAAAAACTTCTGGGTAAAATTTTCTTTCCAGAAAATTTTTTAATAGGAATTCTTGATCAAACTGATTTTTTTTTCTAACCTGCCAGTAACCTTTTTCAGTAACCGGAACATAAGTGTGTTTTCCTTTGAAATGCTTAGGGTCAACACCACCAAAAATTAACTCACCGCCCTTTTTAGCATTAGGATTCCCGTTGAGCCAGAAAGAGAACACCTTCTCGCTGATAAGATTTTGTTCCACCATATTGTACCTGTGATTTAATGATAAGCAGGTAAACTTAAACGTATAGAAAAGATTCATAACACAACACTCTAACAATGGATATCATAAAACAACAAAAGACTGGTTGAAACTTGAAACATACCATACTGGCAAAGCACTTGCAACCGAGATCTCCTGAAAGCCGAGTCCAAATATTCCATCAAACTTTCCTGCCAGAAAAGTAAGACTTCCTTCTCGGGTAGCCTCAATAAAGTCCTGCAGTTTATAGTAGTAATTTGTAAGTATCACTATAAACATATTGAATTTATGTTGAAACAGAAGCTCATAAATAAAGTACTCGCCTGATTCTTGACAATAGAACTGCCAACTTTAACATGATCTTGACTGAAGTAACCAGATATTGATCCAGTTCCATAGCTTATTTTACACGATGTTCCTGTCCAATGAGTAAAAACGTGTAACTAAACTTATATCAAACGGTACATAAATATGGTGTATCTTGCATGCATTTATGATAATATTGTCAAGGAACATGAAATGACGAGACACTGGCAATACCGTTTTGGTTATATGTCTTGGATTTCTTTGCCTTGTACCAATTATGGGTATAGCAGGCAAGCTGCAAAAGAACAAAAGTTAATAGGATACTCTATATATATGTAAACATAATTTTGAAGTAAAAAGTTAAGTTGAAAACTTACGGAAAAGTAACATTTGGATGATGGAACCCAAAGGTTGGAACTACCGGTATCAAATATGACGGTAAAGGTTTGTGGCGGCGTGCCAATTCCAATCTCACCGAAATATTGAGCGTTCATATAATCTTTCAAAGGTATTTCAGCTTCATCGTTTGACTTACCAATGTACCGATCATGTGCACTCATCATTGGTCTTCCTGATCTAAGTTGTTGTTCTCTTCTAAAAGCATTAATACTATGAAGATCGAGAGGTCTCTTCTGCAAACCAACTCTCATCATTCCGACGGAGAAAGAAGCAAGCAGGGAACATGTTAAAGCCCACAAACAGAACACCACAGCAAAATGCTTTTGTCCCATGTTGTCTGAAAAGTAATCCAAAGTAAGTTGAGATGAATATACAATCATAATTATACACATAAAGCAATTAACCACAGAACAGAAAAGAAAATCACAAGTTAATTATGACACTAAGCCATTGAAGTTAATTATAGAGACTCTTTTCAACTTATTTTTATGAAAACAGTTTGACTTTATTTGTTAACGCTATAAATGCTCAATTAAGTTGTTTATCCAAACAAGAGTTAATCAGATTGATAAAAGATAGGAATAATCAATTTTCCAGGCAATAATTACTCCTAGAATTATAATTATTGTAAACCCTAAAGGATAAATAAAGAGTTTAGATTCCAAATAAGCCAAAATATTGTTAAGATCCCTAAAACCCATTAATCAATCATATGAACAGATTAGTGAAAATCAGAAAGAGAAAAACAAAATCAAGTTTACAAGAGATAGAAATCAGTAAAAGAATGTTCAAATCTGAATGAAAGAAGTCAACTAGATAGATCAAAAGTTGAAATTGAAAATCAAAACAGAAAGAAAGTACAAGACAGGTGAACAACAGTAAATATTACAAGAAATCTATGTCGGAATGATTTGAAACAAGACAAGTTTTTAAGGTTTGAAATCAAACCTTAATAGCTCGAGAAGGTGGTTTAGCTGCAGTTACAAAGGTTAGGTGTGGATGAAGAAAGTGTGTTAGAAGAAGCAAATATATAAGCGCACAAGTTGGAAAGTCATTTCATCTACTAGTTGTACAATACAACTAGAATAATGGAATCTTTTGAAAAGAAATAAAAAAATAAAATAAAAATTGGATAATAATAAGAATAATAGATGGTGTTTATTACAAGGCATCATAAAGTCCTTTTGTCTTCAGCGACCAAATTCGTTTTAATTATTAATAAATTAAATAAAGCATAACGTTTGTTAGTTAAACTTATCACAAGAGGATTTGGCATACTATCAATTGTGGTCCTTGAATGTATATTTGATTCCATGTAAATCATTGGGAGGTTTGTGAAATTGAAAGTTTCAATTACAATAAATTGTCGTCGTTTGAAAATTGAATATGATAATTGTTGAATTAATTGTTTAAGTAATTCTATTTTTTTCAATTGTTGTAATTTTAGATAATTTAAATTGATCGTGACATTCATTTAATCATATTTTTTTATAAAATTTATGTTATCTTTTATTCACTCCTGTTTGTTATTAGTGTATTTATTTGTAAAACTTTTATTTTTGAGAGAGAAAATTGTTGTGAATGATTTTAGGGATCCGTCTATTCAACATCTCTTCTAAATTATTTGTCACTCATAATCTCCTCAAACAGGTTTCACAATAATGTATAGTAAAATTGAATATTGGTGAGAGTTTCAATTCTCGATTGTTGAATGAAAATTGATTTATATGTTTCTCCTATTAAGATGAGGTTTTGTTCATTGAACTATTTATCATGGTATCATTATAAAATTAGATAATCTTGAGATTATTAAGTTATTGACGCAAAAGAAAAATATTAGAGTTTCACTTATATATTTCACTACTTCTAAAGAATATTAATTAGTTTGATTGATATGCAACGATGTTGTTACTGCGACTCTACTACTGTACTACTCAATGTCTCCATACAAGTCGTGGTTTGTGAAATTACAACTTCATCCTCAAACGGATCTATTTTCATCTATTTAAAGAAGTATTTGAAGCCATGGAAAAACAAGAATTTAATTAAGAATACTTGCACCTCGGGACGAGCTAGCACAACCAATCAACAAAATCGAGAATTCCAAATATTTGCAGAAAAGAAATAGGTGGATTATAGGGAGGAGGAACAACAATAGATGTTTCCTTCTCTACCTCTTTGGCAACCTCTCTTTCAGATGGCGTCAGTGTATTTTTCTCAATCTATACTCTTTTCTCATCAGAACTCTCTTCAACCTCATTATTACTCTCTTCAACCTCATTATTACTCTCCTTAGGATTTTTGATTTGTTTTTCACTCTCGATTTTTACAACATCCACATGCTCCTCAGGGAAGGGTCCTAGAGGTTTTTGTTCAAGCAGGGAGATTTAAGTCTCCAAGGCCATGTTGTGAGTTTCTAGGGACTCAAACACATTATTCAGCTGCCTAAGGGTTTCATTATTTTGAAGACTTTGATTTCTTATCTCTTTATTTTGGATAGTTTGTGTCTCTACAAAGTGCTTTATCATAGATTCTAGCCTAGAGTGAGTTAGCACTACATCGAAGTCCTCCATTGATGTTTCAAGATTTAAATTATGGGATTCTTGCGGTTCCTCAGAATGTGTTTGCATTGTATTTTGTGTCTCTACAAAGCGCTCTGTCATCATGGTTTCTAGCCTAGAACGAGTTAGTGTTGCAGTGAGATCCTCCATTAATGTGTCGAGAGTGAAATTTCTGGATTCTTGCGACTCCTCAAAATATTGAGCGTGGTGATTGTAGAGGAAATTTGGTTGAGGATAAGTTAGAGTCACATTGTAATCCCCGAGTAATGTTTCAAGATCAGATTTATGGGATTCTTGCGACTCTTCAAAATGTTGGGATTGGTAGTTGTAGAGGTAATTTGGGTAAGCATGCATTAGTGACACATTAAAGTCCTCCATTAGTATTTCGAGGTCGGATTTATGGGATTCTTGCGATTCCTCGAAATACTGAGAGTGGGAGTTGTAGAAAAAATTTGGGTGATACATATTAATTAAGGTTGTAGTGCCTTAGTCTATACGATGCAACAACGCAAATAACAATATTGATTGTTGATCCCCGACAACAGTGCTAAAACCTTGATGCGTCCGCAAGTGTACGAAAATATTGAAGTAATATAAAAGATTATCGAACCCACAGAGACCAATGTCAACCTACTGTAATCTATTATCTCTTTGTAAATCTAAGGCTAATAAATGATTAATTTATGGGAAACTAAGAACTAAAACTGAAATAAAATAAGATTAAGGATATATATATATATATATATATATATATATATATATATATATATATATATATATATATATATATATATATATATATATATATATATATATATATATATATATATATATATATATATATATATATATATATATATATATATATATATATATATATATATATATATATATATATATGAAAAGGGAGACCGAAATGTCTATTCCGCATACCTCTGGGACTCTATAACTCGTTGGCTTGTACTGATGTTAAAAATGTGTTTAGTAGAAAATATCAATTTAAAGATTGAACCTCACACTCTCGTGGTTTTGAATAAAGTCGCATTCCTTAACCATGAGATTTTGCTCTCGCTCTCCCATTTTAATTAAGGAATGTGTTTTGAAAACTGAACAAGTTCTAATTAATCCTAAAGCGCTCTCACTGTGTTTAGAATTAATACCTAGTTTCTATTATCATGTTCGACCCCCACGCTCTCACAATGTCGGCTCGAACCTTAGTTAACTTCTCACTCTCGTGACAAAATCGCGTTAAGTAACCTCTTATTCTCGTGACAAAGATATTTAAATTAAGTTTAAAAACGAAGACCAAAACTGAATTTTCAAACAGATATTAAGCCAACTTATTACCGAGTCCCATCAGGAACGACAATCCTCACATACCGGACTCAAGACAAATTAGCTAAACGTGAAATTAAACATAAGCATGTTATTACAATAATTAAACATAAGACAAAGTATGATTTAAAACAGAAATTAATTTAAACTAAGATGAAATCATAAATAGTTATAATAAGCAATTAAAATGAAACCTGGAAATAAAATGAAAATTGGAATTACTGTTGAAATTGCATACAATAACAGAAACTTGAATTTGGAATATGCTGACACGCTTGACAATCAGGTACAAGATTAAAATAAAAAAATAGTTCCTAAAATTAGAGTTGTGATAGCTCTTCCACACCAGAAAAGCTATCACTTTACATATAAATTTACTGCTTAAATTTTAAGAATCCTTCTCTACTCTGAATGAAAAAATGGTCCCTTATATAATGAGACATGTTGGAAGTTATCATGTGAGAGGTAGTGGAGATCATGGTCGGAGAAAGTGGAGATAGTGGGAAGTTGGAGAAATTGGAGAAAATGGAGATCATGGTCGGGGAAGTTGGGAGAATATAGGAGCTTCGTTGCAGACGTGGAGAGAACCACATAATTAAGTTATTGGGACAAATCTGCGGCGAGGGGCGTGCCTTGTGTTCCGTGGGGCACACAAACTGTCAAACTGTGACGACCGTAACATCATGTGTGCCTAGGGGCACACATATTTTCAAGGCGCAATGACCGACATGAAGGTTGTGACGACCGTCATAGTCTTCTGTCATGTATTTTCCAGCTATTTTTCTGCTACAATGTGATTTTCAACTCATTTCTTTTTCATTTCTTCCTATTTTCTCATGTAAGCCTTGTGGAATATAAATACCTGAAATGAAGTAGAAATATCGGTATAACCAGATAAAAATGAATGAAAAACAATATAAAAGTGTATGTGAATTGTGATCGGTGGACCTGGAACTGACTGTTTAACGCTGGTTCGCGAAATGTCGCGGTAAGCAAGAGTCGCCACCGTCTTTTATTTTCTCCAAATGGAAAGGACAAAAGCACAGAAAAATTCCTTAAAGAGATTGCTCTCGGTTCGGGAGGTAGATTATAGAAAGGGAAGGTGTTAGCACCCTTTCTATCCATGGTTATCCATGGGCTCTTAGATACTTGCTCAATGTGTTTTCAAAAATGTTTGCTTGCTTTTCAATGTGGGTTTAAAAAGTTTCTTTGAAAAATTTCAGTTCGACTCGTACGTCAGAGTGTTTGAAAAATTTGCTTTGAAAGCTTTTGAAAATGTGTTGGTGTGAAAAGTATTTTGTTTGTTTTGAAGAGAGCGAGTATCCATGAGTCGTCTACCTACCCTAAGGAATTCGTCTGTGTAAATGTCCTTTAAAGTAGTGCCATCCCACCATTGAGAGGTAGGTAGCACCACCGTTGGAGGTGTTCGGGTCAAT